TGTCTCCAGTCTAATTCCACAATGATTTCATTAAAAAATTAAAGGGCTATGAATCTACTAGAATCTTATTTAAGCAAAGCCCTTAAGCAAATTAACCATTTAAACCACTGATGTCTAATGTGCTTAAGTACTTTGCTGGTTTTGAATCATAATGATTATTATAGTAATTAGTGTATGCTCAGTTAGATCTTGTGAATGCAGATATTTTTGTGGCTATTTAACAAATAAACTGATTAATAACATTTGCAGTGAGGAAGGGAAGTAGGATTCTCTTTAATGAAATGAAGATAGATATTACGGCATAAAACTACCCATCTTGTGTAGCAAAGTTAGTATAACCACTGGATATGTTATTTATAGGTATATCCCTGCACATGCTTAATATGAATTGACTGAAAATCTCACCTATGAGAGAATTTGGATTTTTTTATCAACTTTTTAGAGCAGAAATGCACTAGCAAATAACTCAGAAAACACTCAGAGTTTCAAAAATAGCCTGTCAGATTCCCTTTTTTTGCCATGTGGATCACAGACTAACCTATCCTGACAGTTTTTATGTCCCCCATTTCTTTCAGACTGCCTCCTTCCAGACAAGAGCCTTGGAGTATGTGAGTCCAAGTCTGATGCAGGGATCAGAGCCAAAGAGATAGAAAATGTGTAAGTCTAAGTCTCAGATGGCCTGTATACTTTTATTCCCATGCTGGGATCTTCACATTTGGCTTGAGTTGCAAGAATATCTTTAGCTCCTGAAACTACCTGTTATTCCTTTTTTTTTATAGGGAGGGAAGGGAAATGCCTTTCAATAACAAGTTTCAAATGTTCTAACATTAGTTCCTCTTCTGATTATTTTTTTCCAGATGTTTTTATTTCTCATACTGGAAATGTGCTGTGACTTTTCCAGTTATGAATGTGAATCAGCTTTTATTTTTTATCTTTAGAAAGTTTGAGTATACTTCTTTGAGTATATATGAATTAAATAAACATCATAAATTTCCTGACTGAATAAACTGTTTTCTTCATTTAGTCAGTGATGGACGGGCTTTGTTCATGTTAGCATACTTTTTAAAAGTCCCATTAGTGCATGATTTTCTTATATTATGACCCTTGAGCAGTAGGAGTCAAGAAGTTAAATTCATCTACAACATGAAATTTGATATTGCCAGATAATAATTAATAGCCAGTTCATAATATTTTCTCTCTTACTTAGACCTAATTGCTAATAATTTTAAGGGGCCAGTATAGAGAAAATTAGGGTATTTCTGACAAGTGTAGTACACAAAAAATCAAAAGCATGCAGGGGGTTGAGATGTTCCGTTAAGAAACTGTAAGATTCTCCATACGGTTTATGGACTGTACCAATTTAGTTGGTGTATGTTGCTGTGCTTTATAAAACAGAAGAAGAGCACTATAGTGTAACAAATATATTGAAATCTCAGTTGTGTACAATACATCATGCTTAGAAACTAGATTTATTTGCAAATGTATTGGTCCAATTAATCTCAAGTAGGAAAAAATCACATTCAAGAAACAACAATTGCAAAAAAGACACAATTATGTTATCATCTTGATTTTCCATAGTATATTTTCACACAAGTATGATTTTTAAATAAGATAACCATAACGCACAGTTACCTATAAACTAAATATACATAGTTTTCTTCTGCTGCATCAGTAATATGAACTTCTCTTGAGTATGTATGGTCTTCTAGCTTTGTTCACATGTAGTTGTCGTTTCAGAATATAGGGATTTTTTCTCTTCATTATTTCCTTATCTTGGCTTGAATTCTCTAGATCAAGAGCATCTTGTTGAAGTAACTGTGGAATGCAAGAAGAAACACCCTGGGTTTTTTTTTTTTTTTTTTTTTTTTGCTAATGAAAATCAACATTTCCTAGAGTGTTTTATAAAATATGCCTTAACAACATAGGAAAAAGGAAAAATCTTTACCATAATAATTTCAACAACAACAAAACAACCAAACACACAAATACTAAATTTAGATCAGGCTAAAGATGAGCTGAGTCCTGCAGGAATTATATTTAAATTCCATTGTTACAAATGAGAGTGCAGGTTTTCACTAGAGAGAAAAACTGATGCCCTTCTTGGACAAGAACCCAAAAACTAAAAAATCAGTAATGTGTAGAATAATAAAAAAACAGTACAAGAAAGCTGAAGTTCTGTCAATCGACATATGCTATATACTTGCTTTTTTGGAATTTACTTGAAATTCTTAAAACATTTGGTTCATATTGTTTCTTGGTTGATATATTAAGAGTACATCCATTGTATTATCGCATTTATCCATGGTCAAATACAGTTTTACTGCCCAACTGAAAGGCATCAAATTAATTTTTTTATACTCATCTCACTGTTTCCCTAAATAATCACCTCTTTTACTCACTTAATTACTCAATAAATGAATAACCATGTAAACTTTTCATTGAAGTTAATGGAAAGAGGCATGGCTTCAACAGAATTGGAACCAATTCTGGATGAATAAGATCACATGGGCTACCTTCATTATACATATTGTTTATTTCAAGTTTTCTTCAATCTCGCTTCTTTTACCACCAACCCTTCTCCTTTTGTTGTATAAATGCTTGCACTTCATAACCTTACTCATAAGCTGAGAGAAGAATATCATTACTTTTTAAATTTCACATGCTACTGCATGCTAATCCTGAAAGTGATGATTCCCAGCTATCACAAAGGTGATGGAACTGCAGAATAAGGAACTGCAGTTAAGACATAAGTGCTATCATATATAGTCAAGACTATGGCATCTCCTTTTCAGCACAAAATGCATTGGTGAAAAGGATCCTCAGAAAACTCAGATTCTCAAAAGAATCTGTCACTGCAGACTTTGGTACGGGCAATCCCAGCAGATACGAGGTATTGAGAAAGAAGCCTTCAAGTACAGAGCTGTGGTTCAACAAATAAAAGGGATGAAGATTTAGTAGACTGTCCGTGAACCTGGTAGAGCTGAAGAAACTGTGTTTGCTGGAAAGTGAGCAGTGGTATCTTTTTTCCCAATCCAAAACAACTCAATGCAATATGCAACACTGCAAGTAACGTGCCTCTGCTCAACCATGACAGTAAGATAAATACCACAGATGGACTATAGAATGCTGTTCAGGACTAGGCATCTCTCACACACACACACACTGTCAATTTCCAAGGTCCTCTTAAGGGGCAGTGGCATAAAAGAGCAGGAGTTCCCTGCTGTGGGTTTCCTAGCAGTGATAAGGAGGATTAGTTAAGAATATTTCACATTTATCTGTTGGTTCTCATCCAAAAGAGACACTTAACTCTTCAGAAACTAGATAGATATAATATACATAGACATATACAGATAAATAAGACATAAAAAATAGTAGAGATTATCAACAAGATAACAAAGGGAAGAAATCTTGAATAATGTGAGGAAGGCATTGATTTAAGGCAAGAGCACCTGAGGTTTGGGAGAAAACATAGGACATGGATTTTAAAAGGTCTATAGATAGATAAACAAAGCCTAAAAGTGTAATAGTGGTTGAAAAATTATTTGTGACCATTTGTTTTACCTCCCAGTGCTGAAAGGCTCTGCTGTGGCAAACTTTTTGGAGTTGGTATACTGTCAGCATTGCTTCCAAGCTGAAGCCATCCAGAGCAGCAGGAAACTGTCCTCCTGAAATGAGATCTTCTTCATCTACCTCTGCTGTTTCTCCTACTTGGTTATTTAGGTTGTTGATAAGATTGCAGGCATTTAGCAGAGTCATTTTCCAGGAAGGAAGTTTTGCTCTGTTAATCTGAAAATACAACATTAGTTAGTGCTTTGCAATTTTTGTTCTGTTTTTTTAGCAATAATGTTTGAGAGTCAAACATTTTGGTAGAAGCAAGTTTGTTTGAAGTCCTTTTCATTTGCCCAACTTTAAGCCAATAATTAGAGAGGACTGAAATTAGGGCAACTTGTTTATTAAACGTATACTGAGTCTGCTTCCCCACTGCCTTACCCCCCAGGTAGATATACAGGATGAAAACATAAAGCACTACCAAACCAGAAAGACGGCATTTCATATGCATTGCACAGGTGCGAGCAAAAGCACTGATGAAAATTAATAGAATATAAATTCACAGGTGTAAATGAGGACAATGATTCAAGCCTACTGGACAAATTCCCAGTCCTGGATTCCAAGCAAGATGCCTGTGGTTAACACAGCAATCCTCCCCAGTTCAGAATAAATGCCAGTCATTTCAAAATTCTCTGAGAAAAGGCATGGAGTCCCTGCTCCAGGGCAATCTGTTTGATGAGGCTGAGTCTGAAGCTATGGAATCTGTAAGCCCCAGGAATTTTGGAGACCAGCAGGTGATGCACCTGAGAGATGAGAAGCTAAGGTCTGCAGATTCGGATGAAGATGGAGCAAAGCTGTGCAGAAAATGGGCACATAATAACCAATTCAAAATCAATAATAATGGATTTCTGATTGGGGCCTGCACCGAAAAACTGAGACAAGCAGTATTTGCATGATCCCCAATGGACATGTTTAGAGTGTTACAGAAAAGGGTAAACAAATTGAGACCTTTGGTTTGACCAAATTGAGCATGATTTAGCCCAAATTTTGCTTGATCCAATAAATTACCTTCCTTAGGAGTTATTTAGCTTTTAAACTCCCTATAAGAAGAGAGAAAAAGAAAGGAAAGAAAGGAGAGAAAGCAAGAGGAGAGGAGAGGAGAGGAGAGGAGAGGGGAAGGAAAAGGAAGGAAGAGGAAGGAAGAGGAAGGAAGGAAATAGTTTTTCAAGTCCCCTGAAATAATATTTGTAAAATGCTCAAAAGAAATATTATTATTTTTCCGTAGCTTTTTTTCCCAAGCAGTTATAGCAGTCATTTTTTTCAGTTTTGTGTAGCAGTAGATTCTTCTTGTTGAGTACAGAGATTAGTTTTCCTAAACTAGAGTTGGTGATACAAAAATCTCCAGTCAAAAGCCAAACAGTAAATTCCAGTTTATAACTGGAAAGTGTTTCCCTGCTGTCTGTGCACATTAGACTCACACTCTACATAAGAACTGGAAAATGGTTGGCATTTCTTTTGCTGGATATACAAATGTATATATACATATTATAATAATACGGATATTGCATTTTACTTAGTGACAATAACATTAAAATGACTGTGGATATTGTGTTTACTTAGCAGATCATTAAACAGTCCTGCAGCCTAGTGCTTCTTTAAGGCACTTTCCTAACAAAGAGGTGTTGTATGCAACATTTATGCATACTGGTCATTATTTACTTTTTTTTTGGGGGGGGAGGGGGTAGGGAGAGAAATAAAATACAGAGAAGCAAAGAAGAAACAAGAAACAGGCATCACTAATAGCATTACTTAGAAGAAATTGCCTGTTGCTCACTTTTCTGTACTCCAATATACACATGGGTTTCTAAATTACAGCAATTTAGCCTTTTATTAAATCACCATGCATTCTCAGGTTTCTGAGAGCATGCCTCAGAAATGCGTTGTGCTTTGAGGGTAAGAAGAAAATTTTGTTCGGGAGCTTGAAATTGTTTCTGCATTGTTTATTTTGGACTTATCTGTTGTCTCTTCCAGATGCCACAATTAGTCTGTTGAATTATCTGAAAAGATTTGACAGGTTCAAAACAAAATTAATCTCTTTATAGAATATCTAACTTAATTAGCAGAAATTAAATTAGCAAAAAAGTGTCCACTGCAATTGAAAGACCTTTGGTATGTTTTAAAAATATGTGTGAAACATTAAAACACAGATTTTTTTTTTCCTGACAAATGAGGATGTTTTTCCAATGCACTTCTCAAATCTTGTTATATGAAAGAAATATGAGTTATCACTTCTCTAGCTAACTTGCAATAAAGAATTAGATCTAGAAGTAGTGCTCCATGAGCAAGTAGGAGTTTCAGACCAGAACTGAGATTATTCAAGTGGATGGGGAGAGGACTAGGAAATTTCATAGGCTTTCCTACATGATTTATAGAATCTTTTGACCTAACTTTACTACTTTACCTTAGCTTGATGCATGTCTTTGTTTAAAAAAATGTGTTTTTTTTCCTGTATCCATTGGTAAAAGACCTAAATAGCAACCTGAAATTCATCATAGCTGTTACTGACTAAGTAAGGGAGAAAAAATCTGACAATCAGACCTTGTGGTTCTGTCTGCAATGCACACTTCATTGGTAAAGTGAGTCTAATTCCTTTTAATACCAAGCATACATCACTTCAAAGGATTTTCACTTCTTCTGAACTGCACTGCCACCTCACAGAATGAGACTGTATTGCTTTAAAAATTTTAGTGAAATAATTTCTTAACTCAAAATGGAGCTCTCCAGGTCATGCCCAGACACTGAAGACAGCACTTGTGTTACTCTTATGTTGTGTACTATTACTCTTAACAGTATGCTGTTAAACTGTTTTTTACTACAGTAAGAATTAAGCCCAGGAAGCTCTATTTTATAGGCCATGTAAAATATCTAGGTGAATATACTAAAAGAGTCTACATAAACACAGTTTTACATGACTATAATCCAAATGCTTAGGTTCCTTTTCAATATGTGATATATTTTCTACCCAGACCTAAGCAATAGGAGCTACAGTTTTTCAAGATATATTTTGGAAAATAGCTATTTAAGAGCTCAAGAAACCTGTATCTGAGGTGGATTTTTTTGAAGATAAACTTGAAAAAAAATCTAGGAGTGATTTGATGGAACAAAACAAACTGCATTGTGAATCCGAACTTAAGAAAATTATTAATGCTGAAGAATTCATGACGTGAATATCACAAATGTATTTCCACCAATGAACATTCTCCTGAATTAAGACTTAAAAGCATGGTTTCCCTTTTATATATTTTGAAAGATAATTTATACTGGACAAAAAATTGAAATAACCCGGAAAATAACATTTCCTTCTTTGACAATTGATTTGACCAATAAAGCACTAAAGAGAATCCCAAGTAACAACTTACACACTGCCTCTCTTTTTCCGTTTCTGGCTGAATTATAGTACCAGATACCTGAAGGACACAGTTTGTGAACTAATATATTTTAATTTAATGTTAAATTTTTAATATGTTTTAATAATGCCAAAATTAATGCTTCCCAAATGTTAAAATTTTTAGAAAAAAAAGTTCTCTTTTTTTAAAATGTTTATGTAGCAAAAACTAGTTTTCATAAATTCATAACTGAATTATACTAGATTCATAAACAAGTGAAATTCAAGGTAACTAAGGAATAGGTAAAACACTTTGACTCTGCTTAGATAATGCTAGAGATACTATAATGCAGAAAAAATAAAGCTTTTTATAATGCTTTTCCTAAGGCAATGCCTTTTACTTAGTTTTGTTTCGCAAATTCGTTTACATAGAACGAGAGGATGGATAATGACATGGAGGCTGCTCAGGTTACTTTGTAACTGAACTGTAATTGTTACTTTAGTATTCTGGAGGGTATCTGTAATATTCAGTAGCATAAACTATTAGGTCAGCAGGTCTGCACTGCCTTCACCTATGTGCTTCTATGATTCCTTTTCAGAATAGTAGTTGAATTTTGCTCAGAATGTGCCTATAAAAATAATAATAATATACACTCTGTGTTTAAGTAGATATAGTATAGAGGTCTGCTACAGGATTAAGTTCTCCTGTGGTATATCCTAATGCCTGTAAATATAATGAATTTGTATACAATGACTGATTCAGAAAGCTCCTACACAACTAATAACCTAGTCTGTCTGACAAGGTAGACTAGGCATATCCAGTCAGGAATAGGCATCCTGGAACAGTAAGACACTTGAGAGGTCCAAGACTTCAAAATAATTTAATGTGAGAGTGGAGATCCCAAAGGCAGAGTATATTCTATCCTTCAAATAAAAAAGTTATCTCATTTCCTCTACCCCTTTTCCTTTAAGCTAAATTTAACTCAGACTTGTTTGAATTCAGCTGAGCATTTTGGGAGGTGAGAATAGAGCTAGTTATTTGATGCAAAAGAGGGAGATAACATATGGTTATCTGTGCATTCGAGACGCGGATCTTCTAAGCAACTCTGGATTTTATCTTAGAGGAAAGACAAATAAAGGATTTTAAGAATATGTTTGATCCTTTTATCTTCCTTGTGATGTAAGAGCAGGGAAGCGTGATAAACTGTATTAAATACTGAAGACATCACTATAAGCATGGATGTACTTCTTTATGGACAGAGAGTGTTTTGGCACATGAATAACTCTAAAGAGTTATTTTTAAAGGCTGTCAGACATTGTCTGTGAAGTCATAAGTCCATACAATAACTTTTTCCATAATATTGTACAGACTCATGAATGCTGCAAAAGATGAATACTTAATTTAGAACACCTGCTATAGTCTTGATACTACACTTCTCCAGTGCCCACTCATGAAGAAGTCTCAGGCACATGCTAGGAACCACAAGTGATAACCCACTTTTCTTCATTTTTAAATTTGGGGTTTCATAACCATGTTCTTTGTCTGTTTATCTATTCCCCCATCTTAGAGTTGCAAACTGAAGAGTTCATCTAGGTTGACTGGATTTTCCTTGATGTTGATGACCAAGCCCATGTCAAAGAAAATGAATGCAGCTTAATAGTAATTGTCCTCAACTGGAACCAGATCTCAGGCACACAACAATCGATTTGTGATGTGTAACATCCCAAAATTTGACTCTCACACTTTCAGTATATCTCTATTAAATTTGACTCTCACACTTTCAGTTCTAACAAAGGTTACAAACTGGCAGATGGTAACAGAAAAAAAGCATTTGACATTTCAGGATTGAACGGAACAGTGGTACATCCCTGTAGGCACAGTATTATTATACACTCTTTTAATCAATCCACTATGCCTTACTTTGGTGTTAAGAAACTGGGTATATTACACTAATTAATTTTAAATGGAAATTATCACCCAGAATTTAACAATGATATTTCTACCATCTGTTCACTGCTTGTATGAACTTCAAGGGTCACAACTCACCATAGATAGCATTAGGAGGTCAAACTGCTAATCACCTGAAGCAACATAATATGTAATGGTAGATGGCCAATATCTTTACATTGTCAATTGTAGCACTGTATTTGCACATTCTTAGCTATTATCTGGTATGAAACTCACTCAGAGACTGTGCTGTGTGCTGACAGAAGAGTGAGAAATGGGAGCTGGAGTCACAATTCCACAGAAGCCAGTTGCAAAAACAACACTAGCTCCAGGGTTTTCCCTCAGGGTGTATTAAGCTTTGACACTCAAAGGAAGAACTGATTTTGTCAATCATCTGCATTTACATTTACCTCTGGAAAAGAATCTCTATTATTTTTTTCTCTTCATTAGAGGAACAAGTTGCACGGTAAACAACCTGGTAAACAGGTTGGTTTGGCATATAAGGCCATGCAAGTAAAGACCATGAGAACCTAAGAACTACCACATAAGATCAAAATATTATCTCTTCCAGGACTATTTCTTATTCTAAGACTGTTCAAAGAATGTTGCAAAAAAGTTTACATATAAGCAAATATTGAAAATATAGAAGTCTTCTAGGCAAGCTTTATCCTTAACTATCACCTAGCCATTGACTTTATTTTTTTTTAATTTTCATGAAAATATAATTGCATTTTCCATTGACATTAAGCAACATTTGAATAACTAGAACAAAGAATTAAAGCATTAAGCCCTTGAAACTTGTTTCAGGATTTATTTTTTAATGTGTTGTTGAGGAATATAATGCTGAAGAAATATAAGACAAGCATGTGTTTCTTACTTCATTTGTGGAAAATAGAAGAGTTGAGAAACTGTTTCTCTTACAGCCTATCTAAAACAATGTTCAACACTTGCTGCTTCACCTATGTGAATACAAGATTGGAAGAGAACTTTTGTCTATTGGTAATGGTACATTTCTGATAATTTGGCCTCTTGTCAAGGAAATGTTTTTATTAATAGTTTCATAGTTATGTCCCTGTGTTCTTTTACGAACTCTGTGAAGAAATTTATAAACCAAACCCAGCATATGTAGTAACAGCTTTTGTTTTATGACTATTAATTTTATATGTATATAGGAAAAGTTCTGCGTAAAAATTTCACTTATACATTTGATTAAAGGTGAATTTAGCTATAACCCTATAGGAAGCACATTTCCTCATATAACTTTACATCTCTGTACATAACACAGTCTTGACAGTTTCATGAAAGTACCGGTATCGTGAGTGAGGGACACTTGACGTGTGTCACATCAACACCTTTAGATTTCCTTTGAATTAGAAGGAAATTTTGTACGAAAGTAATGTCAATCACTGAACATTTAGGTCTAGACCATAGGCTATTACTTTGTGCAGAGACTTCTTGGTTTGTAATGAGAATTTATTTGCTCTCTGCCTGTCAGCTAGAGGAGGAAAAATAATTACCTTTGATGTATACATATTGGTCAATAAATCTGCTTCTAAGGCTTTCATTTCTTCTTCTGAATCTGGAAATAAATCAGAAACATATGTTTATTATTTCATCATAAATCACAGACATTTGAATTCAGCACACAGAATTTAGACACATCAATGAGTGTTGAAACAAATGAAAGATAAAAGCATCGCAATGTGAACTAAATAGACTGACTGTGAAGAGTTTTCAGGTAATTGCAGCCTAAGATAAAAACATTATTTTAAAATGGAAACTCTCTGCCTTTTCAAACTATGATAAAACACAGTGAGTAGAAAAATTCAGCAATTTCAATTCACTGTTAGAAAAGCCCATAAATCTGCAGTCATGTCATTAAAAAATAATAAAAAAAAAACTTGTGAGATTTTTCATTCAAAATAAACGCTTGGCCATTTTTGACCTTTGTTAACTTTAGAAGAAGACTTTAAATATTTATTTTTAAATAATATTCCATAAGTAGCAACTAAGAAATTAGGTTAACAGTACTTTTGAGAACTTGACAACATTTATTTTAAATTATTCTTGGATAAATGAAGAATAATTTTACTGATGAGGGGTTTCAGATGGACCAAAGTTTGTCATACAAGCAGTGCGTGCACAAAAAGAAAGTATTCTAAATGAAATGAAATTCTTAGGACTTTATTTACTAATTTAATTGACTTTTAATAGCACAGTGCATTTGAAAGACCTGTGATTTGATGAGCAAAGTAAATGCAGCTCTTGAAAGAAAACAGTCAAAAACATTTTTGCTTTGGACATAAGCACAAGAAGAGCTGCTGGTTTGAAAATGTAACACAACCAGATCTCAAAGACAATCTATATACAGAAAGCAGTTAAACCTTTTGCTGAAAAAAGGTTCTTGTTTAGTCTTTACCTTCTGCAGAATACTGGCAGTCCACACCCAAAACATACACGTATATTTAAACACAAAACTAAAACAACATCTATTCCATGCTAATAAAAAGTCAAACTCTGCTTCATTAAAATGATCTGTGTTATTATTATGTAGTATCCACAGGATATCTGTGGAAAGAATCTACCTATTCCTTAATTTAGGGAGTCGTCACCATTACTAGCTTCCACAAGAACACAGGCGTGAAAGGCACTTTTTATAATTCCATACTAGATTTCTGCTAGTATGGGAAATCAATCATTATGATAAAAAAAAAAAAATCATGTTCCATCTAATAATTATTTTTTCCTCTCACATTTCTTCGGGGAATTCCTGCAAATCATCTGTGGTTATTCACCATCTTCTCATTCACTGTTTTCTCATTTCAAGACTAATTTCTTTCTAATTATAAAATTGTTTGTGGCTATTGTATCATCTCCTTCATTATTATTGGTACTTTTCTCTTTCTAGTTTTTACCTACCTCATGTATTCTTTAAGAGCAATCATAGCTATTCCCAGCTAGTTTCCATTCACAGAGAGGTTACCAAACAAATGTAACATCACCATGCTTTTACCCCAAGCTTGTCGGAATAAGACATTCCTCTGGAAACTGCATACATCACTGCGAAGTTATGTCCAGAGCTCTCACCTATCCTCCTCTCATATGACAGACAAGCTGATCCCCAAGACCTCAGAATGGCCTTCCACAGGGCCGCATGTAATCTGAATAACCACCTTAATGCCTAATGCTTACCATTAGCTACAGCAAATAGCTCTCTGGCACATTTTAGGATTTACCTTGCCTTTTATGGCGGAAAAACCTTAGTCTCTCAAAGTAAGGTAGACAAGTATGCCAGCCTAAGTATGACCAAGTCCAATATCTGCTTAAACAGCTCCAGCTTCTTTTAAAAGGATTTTTTAATAGACACTTTAGTATCTCCCAAGCTGCTGCATTTTATACTGCTGCGCCCTTTCCGATTCCATTATTGCAGTCAGCAGAAACTTCCAAGTGTTTTAATAATCCTCCTCAGTACCGATGCTCATGTTCCCCTTTGTGTTACTTGCATGGTACAACTGCTCACTCTTCTTTTCCCATTGAGGTTTTTCTTGAAAATATTGGATAGCCACTAGTAACTTCTCTCTTACCTAATGATTTCCATTTCAGCACTACCTGTTGTCAGTGCTACCTGTTCTCAGCTACTTTACCATTAATAGCACCAGTTCTGCTCAGGCTAATTTCCACCAGCGATAGCAGCAGCTACTGTGAATAGGGGAGCATCCCATGTGGACAGCATCCTGATTTGGGGTGCGTGTCCTGCGTTGTATCAGCCGGGGACAACGAAAGGACGTGCTGCTGCTTGGCACACAGGTGTTTAAATGACATAGGCAATGGAAGATAGCTGTGGAAACAGAACCCTATGCTGAACAGTTAGGGATTAAGAAATGTCTTGATTAAGCAGCCTGGAGACCATTCCTTAGGAGACTGTTCCAGATTCCTGAGTGAAGAAGGACACAAACCTTGGGTGTCTATTCAGAAGGGAGCACATGCAGATAAAACAAGGATGAAAGAGAAGGTAAAAGCATAAAAAGAGCAGACTCTCAGAAACACTGAGCAAAAAGCCAAATTATGTATTATTGTTCGTAGTGGCAGAAAATCCACACACTTTGCTATCTCCTTGATCATTCACTCCTAATTGACAAGAAATACTGTTTCTATTCATATATTTGTAATCTACAAGAATAGTTAAATTCCATAAGAATACACTTTCCCCCGAGGACAAACATTTTCAAAGGAAAATTCAACTGAATGATCATTTTCTTTATAACATAATTGTCCATATTAATTAAAACTGACTCGTCTCCTCCGAGTGTATTTTTAAAGCAAATTAAACATCACGCAAATTACACATACAATTTTGTTTCTTTTTTAGGAGCCTATTTTAATTTCCATTAGTATCTTTGACTTGAATACCCATTCAGTCAGGCTCTACAAACAGCAGGGCTAAATATTCTTCACCGGAAATACTAATCATTTTTTCACTTAAAAAAAGCTTTAGATATATAGATATACGAGGAGAAAATGATAAATATTAAGCATCGTCATACAGAATAATTGTATTTGAACTGTGATGAATATAAACCACAGGTACTATATGCGCTACAGTTTTCTCCAGCAGAAAACACTCTGGAAACTTTCATATAAAGGGAGAATTATGAACTTGTGAATCCTTTGCATTTTGTGGAGTTAAACAATAAAGTAATACACAAGTTAATACGGCTGGGTTTTGAAACCTGTCTTTCAAATCATTTGTTTCTGTGTCACCTGTTCTTTTTCTATATGTGTATAAACACATTGAATTACCACTTAATTATATATTTTTGGTGATATACACCACGAGACACACACACACACACACAAACTTGGCTGCGCCATTTTCCAAAAGACTAAACAACAAATTTTAGTACATCATCCTTTTTTTCACGATTCTAAAACACTTTTTCTTGGAACAGAAACACACTTCCTATTGCATGATCTGCATCTGGTTCATCATTTTTGCTCATCACTTCAAAACAGTCAGCAATTCTTTCCAGGCTCCTCAACTGTATTTCAGGTAACTAAAGGGGTCCAATGTCAACCTGAATAAGTAGCCATAATCATGCTGATTTGTATTATGGTAGGTATTCATAGGCATTGTAGAAACTAATTTCTATGACAGTTTGGAATTAAACGGTGCTCAGTAAATCACGGATGAGGTACCACTATGTGCATTTAAGCAAAGGGTCTATACCTGTTTCTCAATGACTAGCCTACCGCAACAAGCACGCTATTGATGTTCTCTTTCCTGATGTCTGGAGGAAAGGTCAGTATGATGGCAAGAAAGTCACAGCTGTGACGGTGACAGCGCCGCTGGCCGAACCCCGTTAGCAGGGGTGGCTGCTGGGCACCTCCAGGACGTAGCTGAGGGACGTAGCCCCCAGCCCCGTTCGG